TCCTCCAAATGATTTTTGAGTTTTGTTCCATATTGTTCTCCCTCTCTATCAAGGATCTCCTACATAGATCCCCTTCCAAGTGGATGACAATGGTAGCTGGGCACCATCTAGTTCTTCTGGTCTCATAGCTGTATAGGCTGCAGATCAGATGGTGTACCAGTAATCCGACTGATTTTTATATGTTGATTTTGCACCCTGTCACTTTGCTGAAGCTTTCTATTAGTTCCAATAATCTTCTTCATTGAGTCTCTGGGATTTTCTATGAATAGGATCATATCATCTGCAAAAAGAGATAGTTTTACTTCTTCTTTGCCAATTCAGATGCTTTTTATTTCCCTTTCTTACCTTTTGACCTAGCTAGGACTTCCACAGGAGCTCTGGTAGCATAGTGCTTAAGGTACTTGACTGCTAACCAGAAGGCTGGCAGTTCAAACCCACCAGCCACTCTTTGGAAGGAAGGTTAGGCAATCTACTTCCATAGTGATACTGCCTCAGAAACCCAAGGAGGGGTCACTATGAGTCGGGTCCGACTCGACGGTACATAACAACAACAACAACAACAACAGGACTTCCAATACAATACTGAACAGGAATGGTGATAAAAGGCACCCTTGTGTCATTCCCACTCACAATGGGAATGTTTTCAGTCTCTTTCTGGTGAGAATAATGTTGGCCATTGGTTTTGTGTATACAAAAATTGTGTATACACAATTCCTCAATTATGCTGAGGAATTTCCCTTTTATTCCTATTTTGTTGAATTTTATTTATTTATTTATTTCCCATCACAAATAGGTGTCAAATTCAAGGTTGTAATCTTTATGGAAGTAGATTGCCACATCTTTCTCCAGCAGAGTGGGTGGCGGTTTGGTTCAAAACCACTGACCTTTCAGTTAGCAGCTGGGTGTTTAATCATTACATCACTAGAATTTGTACACACATTATAGTATACATTAAAAACATTTAAAATAATATGTTTAAAACAATATACATAAAGGGAGCAACCTACTTCTGTAGTGATACTGTCTTAGAAACCCAAGGAGGGGTCGCTATGAGTCGGATCCGATGACGGCAGTGCAACGGGAATAAGTGGAGTGATATCAGATAATAAAAGTTTTCACCACATAATAGCTTATTTTTAATCTCATATTTACGATGAAAGAGACTTGAAGTAAAAGTATATATACATTGATCATCTATATTTTTTAAACATAATACCTTATATTTATGCATGTGCTACAATTTATGAAGTAACTTTACCAAGATACTGTTTAATTCTTACATCAAAGCCACACTGTAGGTAAGACAGGAATTCTTCGGCTGCTGCTGCTGCTGAAGAAACCAATGCACAGAGAGGTAAAGAGACTATTCTAGAAGCATTTCAGAAACAAGCAGTATTCTTTCCATTATGCCATGATGCTCTCATGTGGATCAATGCCAGAAAAAAAAAAATTCTATCAACTTAAAGTACAAACTTAAAGTACAAACATAAAGTGTGAGAGTATGTATGTGCATGTGTGTGAGAGAGAGAGACAGAAAGGCCAAGAGGAGGAACATGGAAATGGAGAGGAGTAAGAAAAAAAAAAAAAAGGAAAGGAAAGAAATGACCAAGGAATGAGAACTCTACGGAGTATCTTTTGCACCATATTCTCAGTAGCTGATTGTATAAAGACAGTTCTGCAAATAAGTGGCTTTAGAGTACAAATACAATAAGCAGCAAACTCACCAAGTCGGCTACATCTAATCTCCTCTGGTGAGATAGGTCGCAGCTTTCTTTCTGCTTTGATTTCTTCTAATATTCTTTCATGGAGGCTCCGTGGGCGTGGTGGAGTTGGTTTTAGTTTTCTGGCTGAGACCTTGAAAATAAAAAGTAATGGCTGAAGACTTGAGTCACTATTCTTAAAACTTTTTTTCCCCCACTGAATCCACTCCTACAGAATAGTATTATTTTACTTAACTAAGTGAATTGCTACTTAATCACAAATTTACAAGATGATTTTTCAAGTCATTAAATATCAACTTTCCTAAAGTTATATGGAAATTATTGGATTTTACAGTGATTTAGTCATATGTGCTCAACTAATTTTAAGCTGTCAGGTTTGCTAAAGTTATATAATTATGTTCCCTGCATAGTATCACGGTAGGCAATAAATTAAAATGTAAGCTATACTTTATACATTACTATCACTGTCTTTGGGCTGCCTGGGTGGTGCAAACAGTTAAGGGCTAAACTACCAGCTGAAAGATTGGTGTTTCAGATCCACTCAGAGATGCCTTGGAAAACAGCCTGGTGATGTACTTCTGAAAACCGTACAGAGTAGTTCTACTTTGCACACATGGGGTTGTATGAGTCAGAATCAAATTGATAGCAACTAACAGCTTTTTTTTTAATTTTTTTTCTGTTGATCCAGACTCAGGGAGACACCCTGTTTGTCAAAGTAGAAGTGTTCTCCATAGGGTTTTCTTTTTTCATAATTAAAACTTTTTTTTTTTTTTTAAATTTGTGATCTGTGTTAAAGTTTACAGAGCAGCTGGGTGTTTAACCATTACATCACTAGAGTTTGTACACACATTATAGTATATGTTAAAAATATTTAAAATAATACATTTAAAATAATATAATAAAGGGAGCAACCTATTTCTGGAGTGATACTGCCTTAGAAACCCAAGGAGGGGTCGCTATGAGTAGGATCCGACGATGGCAGTGCAACGGGAATAAGTGGAGTGATAGCAGATAATAAATGCTTTCACCACATAATAGCTTATCTTTAATCTCACAGCTAAGATGAAAGAGACTTGAAGTAAAAGTTTTCCATTCAACAATCCACACACATTCTGTTTTGTCACATTCAGTGTAATCCCCACAACGCAACAGCAATCACTTCCTCCCTGCACCCACTACTTCCTTTCATCCTTCCTTCCCATTCACTCCTGCCTTCACTAGCTCTATCCCTAGGCAAATCCTGAGATCTTAATTTCATATGGCTGATTGTTCTAATGAGTGCATACCCAGCTGCTATCATTGTTCACCTTACACACCTGTCTTACTGTTTGGCTGAGAGTTGAGCCACAGGGGTTGAATTCAGTACCTGGCTTAAAAGGTGTCTAAGGGTCATAAGAGAGCTCTGGTACTGTAGTGCCCAAGGCATTTGACTGCTAACCAAATGGCTGTTGGTTCAAACCCACCAGCCACTCCTTGGAAGAAAGACTGGACAATCTATATCTGTAGAGATACTGCCTCAGAAACCCAAGGAGGGACTCTTCAGGGGCCATAATCTTCATGAGACCAGTAAATCTGCTTTTTTTTTTTTTTATGATTTTTAGTTTTGTTCTACATTTTTCTCCCACTCTCCCTCGAACCTCCTTGTGTGATCACTTTCAGAGCAGGCAGCAGTGACAGCCAGGTACCAACTAGTTCTTCTGGTCTCAGGGTCCTGGAGGCTGGGGTTCATGTCGTCCATTAGTTCTCTGGACTAATTGTTTCCTTGCATCTTTGATTTTCTTCACTTTTTTTTTTTTTTTTTTTAAATTGTGGTGAAAACATACACAACAAAACATTTGCCAACATAACAACTTCCCCATTTACATCCCAGGGACAAAATGATGACATTTTTCATGTTGTTGCCACCATTACTGTTATCCTTTTCCAAAATATTCTACCACCATTAACATAAACTCAATGGCCTGCAAATAAAAGCTTTTTACTCTTCTTTGCTCTGGACACAGAGAGATAAATAGTTGCACATTAAATGGCCGCTCATAAACTTTTAAGATCTTAGTTGCTACACACCAAAGTAAGGTATTGAGCACTATCTTTGTAGACTGTCTCATGCCATGTTCCCCAAGACTATGTTCCTGTGCCCCATGTCCAGTGACTCATTCCCTTAAGGTGTTTGGTTATGACTAAGAAGTTTTCTTATAACTTTGCCTCCTTGTATGATCTAGTACATTCATGGATATATTTGTAGCACATATAAATACATAAGTAGAGATTTCCTATCAAACCTGTATTTGCTCATGGGTGTAGTTTCACTTATCTTCTCACACCTGTTCAGCTTGAGCATCTATGTGTCCACTTGTAGATTATGACTATTATTGTAGGATTATATATGTAACATTGTTCACTTTTGCTGCCTTTAATGCTTGTGCTCCTGCTTTTATCTTCCACTGCCTTGATAATTTTGTGCTGATGTGCCCCTTACTATACACTGCCTTTCCCTCCCTTAGGTTAATACATATCTACCTTCTAGTTAGTGATTTACCCTCTTTTCCCCTCCCACCCCTGGTAACCTTCAAACAATGATTCTTTCTGTGTGTAGTTGTTGATGGTAGTGCTGTTGTCTTTGACTCATAGCGACTCTATGCACAGCAGAATGAAACACCGCCCAGTCCTGAGCCAGCTCCATGATTCTAGCTATACTTGAGCCCACAGGCGCTGTGTGTAAACCTATTTTATGTGCTGTCCGGTCAGACATGACTCGTAGCTACCCCTCCTTGGGTTTCTGAGGCAGTATCACTATGGAAGTAGATTGCCCAACCTTCCTTCCGAGGACTGGCTGGTGAGTTTGAACTTCCAGCCTTCTAGTTAGCACTCAAGTGCCTTAGGCACTACACTACCAGAGCTCCCTTTACAGTAGTAGTTTATATATTTGTTCTTTTGTAATTGACTAATTTAACTCGGCATAACATCATCTAAGTTCATCCATGTTATGTGGCATTTCACAGATTCATCATTATTCTTTAACAAACGAAAAATATTGTCTTTGATATTTTGAGTAACTCAACACAGCCTTCTGACCTAATTTTGATCATCTTCCTTCTGTGGCAGAAGAAAGTAAGGCTCAGGGAAGCTGATGATCTTGCTAAGAGACGTGTGGCTTCCAAATTGTTGAGCTAATGCACAAATATAAGTTCAGTTGATGTCATGCTCTTTCCACCCTATGTGACTTGCCTTCTTAAAATCATTTCCTCGATGGTCTTTTTCCCTTCCTCTAAAAAGGATCTTTAAAGGGATCATTAAGATCAGACTTTCTGGTCTGATAAAGACTGGTAGGACATTTGGGACTGAAGTACTTACACATCCCTAAAACTTGCAACTGAACCTATTCCTGGAGATTACTTTTTAGCCAAACAATAGACAGGCCTATAAAGTGAATAGTAACACTGTGTGGAATGTGTTCCTCAGAACAATCAACCATATGAAACCAAAAGAGTAGCATTTCCCCAAAAACAAAGGTCAGAATGGAGGAAGAGGGCAGGAAAAATGTGTGAATGGAAATGGGGAACTCAGGGAGGAAGTGCGAAGAGTGCTGTTACATTGAGAGGATTTCAACTAATGTCACAAAACAAAATGTGTATAAATTGGTAAATGGGAAACAATTTGCTCTGTAAATTTTCACCTAAAACACAGTAAAATATTAAAAAAAAATCATTAATTATGCTTTAGCAGAAGTATATATAAACTGGGAAAAAAACTCCATTCCCTTTCTGGTCATTTAATATGCATAGGTTTAAAAGGCTTTGGTAAGCACTGGCCATCATTCCAGAGGAACAGAAGTGAAGAAAAAAAAGAAACACAAACATTCAAGCCAGATAACAATATTTTCACTTTATAGTCACTAGAAAGAATCCTGTAAGAGAGGAAGATAATTAATATAAAAGTGGATATACAGCAGGGTGAATTTATTGTGAAATAGGACAAATATGACAATTTAGTCAAGAGGGGTACTAGCACTATCATGTAAACTGGAACTATCTATTATTAAATTTAGCTGTTATGATAGAAGGTTTATGGCCTGATTTTGTACCATAACCAAGTTGTTTTGAGTTAAAATATAGGAGCTCTGATAGCATAGTGCCTAAGGCACTTGACTGCTAACGAGAAGGCTAGCGGTTCAAACCCACCAGCCACACCTCAGAAGGAAGGTTGGGCAATCTACTTCCGTAGAGAAACTGCCTCAGAAACCCAAGGAGGGGTCGCTATGAGTCAGGTCCGATTCGATGTCATATAACAACAACAACAACAAGGTAGTTTTGTAGTGAATAATTTAAAATACATCTTGTGACACACAAATATGTTTTATACAGTTGGGCTTCTTCATTCTGAGAACATAAGCTCAGAATAAAAACTGACCACTAGGCAGAGCTAAATTTGAGATGATACCCTAAAGGAGATTGAGTCATTATGCAGTCCCCAATCAAGTGGAATGTGTCAAATTACATACTGGATTTAGAGGAGGTCTTGATCTAATGAAGTCCAGGATGATTTCATGAGCACTCTTCTTTAACCGTGGTGGAATATCACCATTTACCTGAAAGGAGACAAAAAGTAGATTCATATGATTATAGGATTATCATTTTAGGTTTCTGGGTATAGCTGTTATCTTAATATATGTCACAAAATTGCTAAAGTATAATTTATCTCTACTAATGACATATTTTGGGAGCTCTGGTAGCATAGTGGCTAAGGCACTTGACTGCTAACCAGAAGGCTGGCGGTTCAAACCCACCAGCCACTCCTCGGAAGGAAGGTTGGGCAATCCTACTTCCGTAGTGATACTGCCTCGGAAACCCAAGGAGGGGTCTCTATGAGTCAGGGCTGACTCGATGGCACATAACAACAATGACATATTTAAAATTAATAAAGTGGGAAGCAAATGGTTGTGTGATTAAAAGAAAATACGTATGCAGAATTGAAGGAAAATCAAGTTTAGTTTAGTTGTTATCATTTTGGGAAATTATGTAATATCTTTTCCAACAAGAAATTTTGAAAGTTAAACTGAGTAAATAATATTTATGTGTATTAAGTATTTTATAATTTAAAAATTCTTTCACTAAATGCAGAACAGAATTTCAAATTCTCTTGGAATTCAGATATTCTGGAGCCATGGAGGCTGGATGAACCCCTAAAAGTACTGCTCTGAAATAATCTTTAAATATTAAACTTTAAGCTAAAAGTATCCCCTGAAGTTTTCTTAAAACTGAAAAACAGTATAGCTTAACTAGTGAAGCATGTCTCCCTTGAGCATTGTGCTCTTTTCAAAACTATGTATATGAGATCAAATTGACAAAAGCAATGTGGAAAATTAGATATAAACTTAGGGGGCAGAAAGGTTATGTTAATAGGGGAGGAACAACAGAGTGAGAATGGTTGCACAACTTGAAGAATGTAATCAATGTCAATGAATTGTACATATAGAAATTGTTGAAATGATGTATGTTCTCCTGTGTGTATTCTCAACAATGGCAAAAAAAAAAAAAAAAAAAAACATAAATCTTTCACCTCTCATTTCATCCTTGTAAAAATCTTAGGTAACAGGTAGGACAGGCAACAGCATCCACACTCTGTAACTAAAATTCAGAGTGGAGAAGGTATGTGACTACACTCACAGAGTGAAAAGAAGAGTTAGTGAAGGCCTGGGCTCCAGTTTCTATTCTAATGTTCTCTCTTTGAAAGTCAATGTGTTAAAAATGTTTTTCTTTGAGAAATTTAAAATGACTCAGAAAATCACAAAAATAACAACCTAAACACACATTCTGACCACCCAGAAGGAACAGCTATGAATATGTTGTCCTATTTGTTTTCCAATTTTGCTTGGGGGGAAAAAAAAAAAAAGGAACTTTAACTACCACTCTCAGTCCCCTTTCCGACCCCAGATGCAACTCCTCTCCCCTAAATTCAGTGTGTGAGACAAGTCAGCTGGCTGCTGATCTAGCATCCGAAGCTTGCTTACTCTCTGCTGGTAAGCATGGATTTGGATCAAGTGTCCCTAATTCCCAGACACAAGCTTTAGAAGTAAATGTTGGCTGACCTGAGCCAAGTACATGGTTGCTTGTAACTGGTTAATCAACCTAGAAGTGAAGTAGGTGATTCTATTTTGTAATTTCTATGAGAAACCCACTCCCTTCTTCCTTTGCTAAACCAAACATCCCTGAGAAACCCACCCTCCCCTTCCTTTTTCCTGAGAGCCCTACTAATCTCCCTTTCCCTGAGAGCCCTATTAATAGTAATTCCCAGAGTTAGGGGTCCACATCCTGCCAACAGAAATTCTCAGAATTGAGGACCCTCACTCTGGATTGTGTGTTTCTGTTCTGATAATAAGCTGACCACCAATCTTCCTTAAAATAGTAAGCTGACCATTAATCTTCCCTAAACAATAACCTGGCAATTTATCTCACTTCTGTAACACGCTTGCTTGCCTGCTTGCAGTCCTATGCTATATAAATCTGCCTGAAATCAGGCTTGGGTCTGCAGTTGAGAAGAACACTTTAGTGCCCTTCAGTCCGGCTATAGCTGAATAAAGACTCTGCCAAATTCTGGACATTATAGTGGTCATCAATTTCTTCTGAACCCACAACATTTTGGGGGCTCGTCCGGGATGACCACTGTGTCCTAGGGCCTCCTCCGGCTGCTCTTGGGAAGGAGGGACCTCAGAGGAGGTGCCACCTGAGACGTTCCAGGGCCCCAGACTCCTAACTCCCTGGTTGAGCAGCTGCTTGAAGATGCCTTCGCAATGAATTCAGCTAGAGTCACCTGGTTCCTCCGGAGGTAAGCCTGTAAGGCTGGTCTTTCTGTTGACTGGGAGAGGGGATCGGATGTGATCTAAATCCTGCCCCCCCAAATCTTTTCTCACCAGGATGCTGGGTTGAGAAACCTGTCCAGAGAAAACTTGTTTTTCTGGAGCCTGGTCTGGTAAAATGTTGGTGAACTGACTTTGTTTTACTAGAATCCTGTCCTGTCCTCTCAAGAGTGTCTGGTATTTCTAGAACGTAACGTGTTCGCTGTTTTATGTTATGTCATCTTCTCAGTGGTTTTGTCACCTGGTCCTCTTTTCTCTTTGTTTGCCTCTAATTAACCTTCTAACTTATGGACTTGTGACTGTTGCCCCGACTGACTGGACAGCTGGACAGAAAATGTCTCGTAGATTATGTTATCTACTTATATGTTTCCTTTTTGCAGGACTGTGCTGTTACTAACAGTAAATGAGTTTTAATTCTGAAATATTATATTGGATTGAAAGGTTTGAGCATTTTGTCCAAACTCTCTTAGAAGATCTTGATTGGTTTTATCCAAAAAAACTTGGAATTTTTATGGTTTAAATGAATGGATCATTAATTTGACTGCTCAAGCGACCCTACAAGAATTTGCACCCTGAGAAGCGAAATTTTACTTATTTTCATTATTATTCTAACTACCGTAAATATCTAATCTTGCTCTCAAATTCAGGATTAAAATTCTAGGATAAATAAATTGGCATTTTAGGATTTTGGGGTTAATATGTATTTTAATGTGTAAATGACTGTGTCTGACTAACTGAAACCCTAAAGATTTAAGAAGCTGGGAACAACATCAAAGGATTACTCTTAAGGATATTTGATTGACTGTTTTATATTGGCTCAATTATAATTTTAAGCAGTTTAAGAAAACGCTTTCAGATACATTACTACCATTTTGTGAAAATATGGGAAATTCATGTGTAAAGGACAAGGCCCCTCTCCAATATATATTAAATAACTTCAGACTAGCTTACAGGGGGGATTATGGAATTAAATTCAACCCCTGGTACCTCAGGGCTTTGTATAAGTTGGAGTAATTTTAATGACTGGCTAATCAATACTCTAATACTAGAAATTTCCATTGTTTTCAGTTTTTTTCTGTTACTGGTAGTGTGGGATAAAAATTTCTGGGCCTTCAGTTTACCCTTACTCTTGACTTCTATCATCACACTATTTTTGGATTGATTATGATATATAAAATTGTTAAATGAAGTGCTGTCATGGATTTTTAAAACTCTATATTCATTTTATTAAATTCTTACCCTAAAGTTATCAAATTACATTTTTACTAGTAATGCTTGATAGTTCCTGTTTAACCACATGCTTATTTCTTAAAAACAGATGAGCTAATTTTATGGGAAAATATTTTTATCTTTGTAAATTATTATTGAAACAACATAGACCATTTGAAATGTTTTTCTACATGTAAAATGCAGTAACACTGATTATATCCTTTGAGTGATATTTGGTTAAGCTTGGTCCAAACCCCCTCAATTCTAGTCTGGCTTCTAGCTGACAAGGAGGTTGAAATTTTGATCCTTAATAAATGACTTTTAAGATCACCTCCATAGCTGGGACATTGCTATTTTGGTCCGTTTTCGTTTGATTTGTTTGTGTGTAAAAAGTGTGTGTACATGGCACCGGTGCAACAATTTCGAGTGAATATAAGTGTGACTAAGTAAGTGTGATTGAGTGAATGTATGTGTGATTGGAAATTGAGTAACCAAGATTTTGTACCAGAATGGAGCCTCTTGGCTGTGTTCTGAGAAACTGAGCTCATTTTGGTTTTGAGCATATTAAATAATAATAATTGGTATTTTTCTGTTAACACTGTCTGACCACAGTATTGGTGAGTCTCAGCTGGATGATATCATAGTTGTGACTTCTGATGTGGTCAGAAAGTGGAGGTCTGAACTATAATAACATTCAGATAGATATCAAATGTGGGAAGAACTGTTTCATCTGAAGTTATTCTTCACCTTGTTTCAAAACAAGAGTTCAATAAAAACAGTAGGGTAAGGTTGCTATCTAGAGGAGAAACGTATTTTAAGAATGTCTTACAGGACTCTAAAGATCCTTACCTTAACTCCGTTCCTCCCCATCTGCTCTTCAGAAAATGATCTGCAAACACATACTCAGAATGGTGTAAAAATTTGGCCAGGGATCTAGACCAGATCCGTCAGGGCAATACCCATTATGGCAGATTCCAGCTGGTTAAAATCATGAAGAAAACCCTGGAGTTTTTGTTTAGACTCAGGTGCCATTCACCTTGGCTGATTTACATTAATCTGTTATTAACTATCTTGCCCCTGAAGAAAGGTGGATGGTATCAGAGGAAGCTAGAGCAGAATCCAACAGACTTCATAACCTCCAGCCTGAAAACCTAGCCAGGGGCCACAACCATCAGAATCATATCCAGAGTGGGATCCCAATAACCCAGAGGACAGAATAAGGCTGGAGTACATTGTCACAGGGCTCCAAAAAAGGGGCCCCAAAGCAAATTCAAAGGTTCAGGAAGTACAACAAAGCCTCAAGGAAAATCCTTCTGCTCTCCTCAAATGGGTATATAAAACTTACCATCAGTGTACTGACACAAACCCAAATGCCAAAACTAGAAGGGGACTGGGTATGAATACTTCTCAATTTGTAGAGGTTACTTTCAAGGTCTATAATAATGAGGACCAGAAGCAGGAGAAACAGAAGCAAAGAGACATGAAGCAACAGATTGCTTTGCTAGCTGCCGCCCAGGGAGACC